CCATTAATAAACGTTCTTTGACTATTAGTCCAAGATTGTCGCTTCTTTTTTTGGCAATCTCTTCATTTTCATCAAGCGGCCCGTAAGTTATCCCTTGGAGAGAGTTGAGGTGGCTAACTAATTCAGTCGAACACAATATCAAGTAAGTGAGTTGTAAGTTATCACGGATACGAGGAGGAATGTTTATTTTGGTGATGCTATAACCTAATTTTTCTAGTTTCTCTTGGGCTTGTCTGTATAGTTTGTTTAATTTGGGAGACAAAAATTTCTCTAACCTGTCAATGGTCACGATTTTCTTTCGTCTTGGCGGTCGCAAAAATTTTTTTTTAGTGGTAGTTATTAAGTCGTAAGGGTCTGGTTGAGCCAAAATCGTAAAAATTTCCTGGGCGGTGCTTACCTTGTTGGCTAGAATACCAACTGTGTCTAGCGAAGAAGCCATTGGGATAACCCCATAACGGGAAATTAGTCCGTAAGATGGCTTAAACCCGACTAGACCACAGTAAGCGGCTGGACGCCGCACTGAATCGCCAGTATCATGTCCTAAGGCAAAGGGGACAATTTTCTGGGCGACTACTACCGCCGAACCGGACGAGGAACCTCCCACCACTCGCCCAGGATGGTGGGGATTAAAAATCGGTCCGGTTGCCGCATAAAGCCCTACTCCTCCACACGCAAACTCATCCAAAGCCGTTTTTCCTAGTAATTGATAGCCCTTTTCTCTTAATAACTTAATCACCGTCGCGTCCTCACTAGGACAAAAATTAACCAAAAAAGCCGAGGAAGCCGTCGTTGGAAAATCTCGCGTCCAAAAATTATCTTTGGTTAGATAAGTCTTCGCCCATTCTCCAACCAAATTAATATTTTCTCTGGCTGCAACAATGCTTTTTCCTTTCTCGTCACTAATTAGATTTTTCTCATCCCCCATCATCTTTCAGTTCCTTACTTACTTTTCCGGTCGCTTCTGGTTTTGCTTTTCTCCACTTATTTTTTCAATTACTAGAAATCTCTTAATAGCCGAATAAGGTCGACTACTTTTAATCACTACTTTATCTCCTAATTTCA